ATTTGTGTACTTTGAACTACAATAACACCAGTAAATATTATTTCCACCCGAAAAAAATAATACCGTTATGATCAGGAGTAAGACCCCTATCGATCCTAATATTATTATTTTTAATAAGAGCAATATATGTACGTATTGTACACTTTTCCTTCCTAATTATACAGCCTCATTGCGTAAGTCGTAAATTAGGCTGAATTGTACGACTCGACAACATTAGCATTGTCTACTGTCGTGCTGAAATAAGTAAACGACGAAAATTGTCGAAAACTATGCAGTGCTGCCAAGTTCTTCCATTTTAATACACTAGTCGAGTGGAAATTTTAGGCAATGACGCTAAATTTTCGATACGATTCGACTCTCGAAAAACGACTTGCATTCGGCACGACTCTCGCAATGAGGCTGATACACACTTATTTGTGTATTTTTTTAACGTATGGTAGCATGCATGCTAGTATGGTGGTATGCTTGTTTGTGAAATGTGCAAACGTTTGTGAAGACATTTATAAACGCGTTTTACTTAATTAATTAATTAAGAATTGTATATTAAAGTGGAAATCTCAGGCCGGGGTTTTAATGCAACTATTTTGAGGAGGGTGTACATAAATAAAGTGTTTATTGTGTGAAATAGCGCCGAGAGGTTAGTTCAATTTACAAACTTAACAACAAATAACTTAAAAACTAGAGGCCTGCTGCGGCTAAAAGTATATATATTTGCAATCAGGAGAACTCCCTCTATCGTTCCATAGCTACCTTAATGCGGAACTCCGGGGATGCCAAACTAAATTGCAGCCGAAAATGGTTCTACCAAAATATTTCACTATTTGTTGTAGCCGCTACAACTAAAAAAAAAATAATTTTGGGCGGGACGAAGTTCGCCGGGTTTGCTAGTTATTAATAAATTAGTGCACAGATATAGTAGAGGTATTCTCTGAGTTTTGCAAAGCCCTTGCACGGTGCACAGATTGCACGGATTGCACGGTAAAAACTGGTTTTCGTATGGGACAGCTTTGCAAACCGTGCAATCCGTGCACCGTGCAAGGGCTTTGCAAGACTCAGAGAATACCCCTAGTATATTTTATTTTTGTAATAAAGCGTGAACTTTTGTCTACAAGTGTGTGTAAAATGTTTTTGATTCGATTCACCCGTTTGGGTTCAGCAACCCAAAATCGTTGTACAAATTCATAAAGAGTACCCTTAACAACAAATTTCCCGTAAACTATGTTTCCTCGCCGTCTGGTTTTCAGTTTTGTGATGAGTACGACCCCCTCTGCCCCTCAAAAAAAGTAATTTGGTCCAAAGCGTGGTGCACTCTCGCGAAGTTTCCCAACATCTTTTTAAGGCCCATATAAGGCGAGCTAAATTACGAAGAGATTAAAAATAAACACTCCAGTCATCAATGGGATATCCACATGCATATATGTATACGCATTTATGTGAATACGTATGATTATCACAAATATTTGGACCATGTGTTTATGATAGTATGAACAAATGACCTACCCTCTTTTGTTCCTTTCTTTCGACCTAATGTACTAAACTTATCCCAAAAACTTTCTTCCTTTTCTGCATTTTTTACATTGCCACTCATATGCGGAGATCTAGATCGTCTTAAAGACATTTTGATAAAGCACTAATTCTTACGAGGCACTTCAAACCACAAAAAATATATAGGAGTTTTTTACCAAAACCTGACTCAAAAACTATCGACTTGAAAATTAAATCGAGCATGTCCGATAAGTCAGCCAATCGACTATTAATGGCGTGTTTACATTAGACAATGCTGTCAAGACAATAAAGAAACACGTAATAGTTTTCAGAAACGCTGATAATTGCTTCCGTGGCGTAGGCGTCCTGACAATAGTGCAGGCAATTCATTTTGAGCAAAATTTCCTACGTAAACGTTGAGTTATAAGTTGCAGAAATACGCATTTAGCGCGAGCAATTTATGCTAAAAACTAAAAATTAAGTTATACCATGTCCGGACTGCCATCGAAAACATGTTTTGGGGAAATTTCGCCAGAGTACACCACGCTTTTTACGACAATTTTGTTGTTAAAGTTGAAAATTACACCTAACAAAATGTACGATAGCAAACCATTTCAAACAAATACAAGTGTGCAGAAAACACACATTCCAACTAAATTAAGCTCTTTGAACGTTTATCTATTTCATATTTTATTAATTTCATTATTTAACGATGAGGAACACGTTTATTGTTGTTGTTGTTGTAGCGGCACTACTAAGCCCCGCCTTTTTCGGGTCTACGTTCAATCATTGTCGTCAAGCTCAACTAACGGGAGGCCCAGGAAATGAGCTGTTTCGATGGGTTCGGACCAGAGGGAGAGGGGTGTTAGTTGAGTCGGATTGAGCTGGCATGTAAAGAGGTGGTTGGTGTCGTGGGGGGACTCTCCACATGCCGGGCACTCATTGGGGATATTGGGGTCGAGTCTGGACAGGTAGCTGTTAAGGCGGCTACAGTATCCAGACCGTAATTGAGCCAGGGTAACGCGGGTCTCTCGTGACAGTTGAAGCTCCGTCTCTTCTACAGGTGGTGATTGGGCTCGTATTACGGCATTCATAGGTCGAGAGTCGAGTCTGTAGCTTCGTCCACTGCGTCCAACTAGTCCCCGGCGTCCAAACTGGCGCAGCATAGTTTAGAGCCGGCCGGCCAATTGCCTTGTATGTTGCCAGCAACGTTTCTTTGTCTTTGCCCCAAGTGCTGCCGGCGAGCGACTTGAGGACCTTGTTGCGGCTCTGTACTTTATTGACAATTGCGGTTGTGTGCGTGGAGTAGGAAAGCAGGCTATCGAAGGTGACCCCTAAGATTTTCGGGCTGTTTACAGTCGGTATTGGTGTGCCATCGACGTGTATACCTAACTCAAGCCTGACCTCCTTCGTCCAGGTGGTGAAGAGGGTCGCCGTTGATTTCGTTGGGGAGAGTGTTAGGCTCCTTGCAGTGAAGAAGCGAGAAAGGCTGGAGAGATAGTCGTTCACTTTTGAGCAGAGGTCATCAATTCCATTCCCGGACGCCAAAATCGAGCAATCGTCAGCGTATGAGATCAGGGAAACTCCCTCAGGTGGTTGAGGTAGCTTCGAGATGTAGAAGTTAAATAGTAAGGGGGAGAGAACACCACCTTGTGGAACCCCTTGTTTAATCCTTCTTGGTTTTGAGGTTTGTTCTCGGAAGATTACTGACGACTGTCGACCACTCATATAATTCGCCGACCATCGCTTCAGTCCCTGTGGGAGTGAGGAGGCCTCGATGTCTTCTAGTAGCGTGGAATGGCAGACGGTGTCAAACGCCTTTGACAAGTCCTGCGCTACTAGGACCGTTCTCTCACAGGGGCGGTTTCGATTTAGGCCACGAGTTATTTGTGTGTTTATGGCGTTAAGTGCTGTTGTTGTGCTGTGCACTTTACGGAATCCGTGCTGGTGCTTAGCTGGGGTCAGGTGGCAAGTGAAGTATGGGAGTAGTAGGGCCTCAAGCGTCTTCGCGACCGGGGAAAGGAGCGTTATCGGGCGATAAGAGTCTCCTTTGTTGGCGGGCTTCCCCGGTTTCAGCAGTGGGACCACTCTCCCTGATTTCCACACATAAGGAATGATGAGAGTGGCCATGGACAGGTTGAGGGCCTCCGTTAGGTAAGCTACTCCCTTAGGCCCTAAATGTTTTAGCATACAGATTCCGTCGGGTCCAATGGCTTTGGAGGCTTTCGCCTTCCCGATGGCCCCCTTCACTTCACAGCTGGTGAAAACAAGTGGTGCACTGTTTTTTGGCAGCTTGTGCAGCCTCCTGGCCACTCGACGTTTGGCCTTGTCTTCCGAAGGGTGCAGTGTGAATTGCCTACTAAAGTAGGCTGCGCATTTCTTCGGGTCCGACGAAGCGCGACCTTCGAAAGAGATTTCCACTCTGTCATCACGCTTCGTTGGGTTGGACAGGGACCTCTCGGTTGACCAGAGCTTACTCACACCAGATGTGAAGTTACAGGCCTTCAAGTGCTCCTCCCACTTTTTCCGCTTATGCTGATTTACCAGTTGCCGAATCTCCAAATTAAGGTCCCTCAGACGGGGGTCCCCGGGGTCGACCTGGCGTAGGTGGTCACGCTCATTCGCTGGTACAGCTGCTCTCGGTGACTTCCGCGAAGCCGTCCCAATCAGCTTTGTTGAAGTTGGTGTAGGTTCGGTGGTCCGCGGGAGCAAAGTCGGTGGGCTTATCGATCGAGATGACTATGGGTAGATGGTCTGATGCTAGTGTTAGCATAGGTCGCCATGAGATGCTATTGATCAAACCAGTGCTAGCAATTGTTAGGTCTGGCGAGCTGCTGCAGCTACCCATAATCCTGGTGGGGGCGTCGTCGTTCATGGTGCAGAATGTCGAATCGTCTATCTGCTCAGCCAAAAGGTTTCCCCTACGATCATTGGCCAGGCTCGAGTGCCATAGATCGTGGTGCGCGTTGAAGTCACCTACTACCATTCGGTTTTCACCTCTGAGTAGCGCACCTATGTCAGGGTGATATCCTGCCGGGCAGCAGGTGACAGGGGGTATATAAACGTTGAATATTTCGAGCTCGACATCGCCTGACCGGACAGCTATGCCCTGACATTCTAGGATGGTGTCCCTCGGGTCGATGTCTTCTTCGATAAGCCGATACTGCACTGTGTGGTGTAAGATGAACGCTAGTCCGCCACCATTATCTCGCTCGCGATCTTTACGGAGCACATTGTAGGCGGCACAACCCAATAGAGTTGAGTTGCTGTGCAACTTCGTTTCTTGGACCGCAGCTATCAATATTCCATGCCGACCCATAAAGACTACTATCTCCTCAATCTTGCTCTGGAGTCCGTTGCAGTTGAGTTGTAGGAGTTTCGTATGCCTTGGGAGGCTGGTCGCGATACGGGGGGTGAGGGAGGAGTGAGGTCTACCATCATGGGGCGCTGTAGTTCGCAGTCCATTCGCGCGTGGTGCGTAGACCGGAGCATAGGCGGAAGTGACACCAGCCTAGGCATGAGTTGCATTTGACCGATGTCACGTTCCGGTATATTCTGCTCCGGCATACGGTGCAGGTGGTATGTGCAACCAGGAGCTGCTGGTTAGCTCGCACGCGCGAGTTAGACAGGCCGGTAGACTGTGGGGGAGGGGGAGGGTTGGGAGGTTTGCTGCTGCCCAGAGGAGCTTCTCGGAGCCGTGCAGGCTCTTCGGGTGTTGGGTGCGTTGCGCGTAGCCGTGGAGGCTGATTGTGCCGTTTGGCTTGAGCAGCAGGGAGCCAAATAGCTTGTGGTCCACTCCCGGTGAGACCTAAGACCAGAGCAGGTTCTTAGGTGACTCCATCCGTTGCATGAGTTGCACCTAACCGAAGTGGAGTTTTGATGGAGTCGATTCTGGCAAACACAGCAGAAATACGTTTCTGGTCCGGGGTTGGGCTCTACGCCCGCCTGGAGAAGAAGGATGCGGAGCAATCCGGCTGCAAGGAGTTGCTCCATGGACGAACAATGATTGAGGGGTATCGCCGATCTAAGCGGGGTTATGTCGCCGAAACAACAGCCCTTGGTTGGGTAAAACCCGAGACATGCCGGTACGTAGAACCGGCTGTCTTGGGAATGAGGAACACGTTTATAAATTTGTTTACTTTTCTTTAGAGAGCCCAACCAGTATGAAAGTGCAAGTATGGACAATTACCGAAACGAAGATGGCCGCATGTGTGATTAAGTGTTGCCAGAATACCTTCAAAATGTGTTGCCAGATGTTCAAACCGTAAGAATATTATAAAGGCGAATATGATAAGTGCTATTGTGTTATAAGTTTAATAGCAATTGTGAGTATTTTGTGTGCAGCGTAAAAATATTATAAAGGCGAATATGATAAGTGCTAATTTATTATGTGTTCAATAGCAATTATGAAAATTATGTACGCTGAATTCTCCTTTTTGTGTTGCGTTGTCAAGCGTGTAAAACACCTTTTGACATCGTAGTAGCTTTAACACAAAACTCTTTTAGCATAGGCGGGCTTCGGCCGCGCTTAGGGATTATAACCCTTACTACGCAGGATTCTCTCATTTTTGTGTTGCCTTGTCAAGTGTATAAAACACCTTCTGACATCGTAGTATTTATGATGCAGAACTCTTTCTGCGTAGGCGGCCTTCGGCCATGCTTAGGAATTATAACCCTCACAATGTAGAATTATCTTTCTGTGTGGGGAAGAAAATAAACAGAAGTATTTTTGAGCAGAACTTCTTTCTGCGTAATCGGCCTGCGGCCGCGCTTAAGGATTATAACCCTCAGAAAGTAGAATTCTCTTTCTGTGTTGCGAAGAAAATGAGCAGAAATATTTTTGAGTGCCTACGCACTGTGCTAAGTCCGACTTGTAAATTATCGTTGCTTTTTTCCACTCTTTCATTTTGCTAAGCCAACACAATCAAGCGCAGCTATTCCGCTACGATTTACACTTGATCATGTGGTTGTTGGTTTTGTTGGTTTTTGTTAATAATTCTATTTTTAGAATGTTTATAATATAAGCTAATAAAAATAGCCTGCAATGTTTGCAGCAGCAGCAGCAGCACTAACAACTCACGGCTCGTGGAGGGAACTTCGAAATCTGTTATAAAGAACACTTTAATATACAATATATACATGAATATTTAATAAATGAAAATTACCTGCTTGAATTTTGCTCATTTTTTACAATAACTTTATCACTTGATGGAATACAATAGCGCATGGAAA